CGGGCGCCGGGACTCGGCCCAGAGGCCACAGGGCCGGCTGCGGGGGGCCCTCTTCCTCTTAAGGAGGCCTTCAGCTGATCGGAGGAGGCCCACGCTCACCACAGAGGTCAGGGGCTCCACCCAAGGTCAACTGACACCGGTGTCAACCGCATTTGAGAAGCACCTTCACAGAAACACCTGGAGACCCGCGTTGGACCACACATCTGGGTCCTGAGGCCTGGCCGAGTCGCGACCCGTGAAACCAGCCCTCACAGCAGGTGCCGGGGCCTGGGCCCCTTCCCGGCGCATCTGCAACAGAAACGTCTTTTCCTGTCCAGCTGTCGGCTTCGTGGGTGTCACGAGAACATGGGGCGGACGATGTGCTGAAACATATACATGTGCAAGCAGCCTGTTCGAGGGAATCTACTCAGATCTTCCCGCCACGTCCTCTAAAGGCCACGTCGGCTCACCCCTGGGTAGTCTTGGGAGAGAACACGGCTGTAGGGCGGACACCACACCCCTTTCAGATGCGGCCGGTGACCACTTCTGGCCCCAAGGGAAACAGTGGCTTGAGGATGCAGAGGTCTCTGCGGCTGCATTTCAGTTCTGAGCTTGTGATGCCTGTGAACCCTGAGGCACCACCGTGACTTACCCAATTTGGTGGACCACAGAGGAAAAGGGAAAAAAATCCAAGTTGCCAAGGAAACCACTCTGAATACATTTTACGATGTTGTGAAAACCGTACCTTCCAAGGGGGCTGGGTTACACTCCGGGCCGTACTATCGCTGTTACTGTGACTCTGCCCCCACCGCCACCCCCTCGGTCAGCATTGGGGGGACACTCGGCCACAAAGCCGAACTCCCTCAACAGAACCAGCAGTGTCCCTGTCCCCGAATCACTCTCCCAAGGCCCTCCTCAGACAGCTTTTGTGGCAGGAGGCGTCAGGAGCCCCTGGAGAGGGTCCCCACCCCACCCATCACCATCTCCTGGTGATTCCACAAGGAACACGGTGCCCATAACACAAACCACACAGTCGTGGCGCCAGGTTCGCCCCCTAAGACGACCACGGAACTAGGCTCTGACGGCCTTTAATGGATGAGCTAGAGCAACGTCCAGCCCCAGAGCAGCGGAGACGACGCAGACAGACACCCCCGGCCCAAAGGGCATCAGTGGAAGGGCGAGGAGGTAGGGACACGCAGGAAACACAGGAAGCGATGCACACGCCACTCACACTGCTCTAGAGAAGTGCAGCATGCTCGGACACACACGTGCACACGTGCACATTCACACGCGTGCACACGCACGCTCGGGCCCACACTGAGGGCCCAGCACTCCCAGAGCAAAAGGGCGGGTCCAGGGCAGGGATGCAGGGGCAAGACACGGCTGCGTCTGGGATCCACTACCTGCTATCTGCGTGTCCTTGGGGAAGGACCCCACAGGTGAGGTGAGACTGCACAGCCGTGGGGCTCACATTCAAAGCTCCCATTGTCACAGTCCCTGTAAGCTCTGTGAGGAACCCCGCTGACCCGTCTTTCACACGGCTTCACAATTTTTCCACCCGTGGCCTTGGCCCCAGAGAATAACGGACGACTGTCTGTGTTGGCCAGAGCTGCTCACTCCCTGGGCCTCAAAACCGAGGCTGCAAACTCAATGGCCCGCAAGTGTGTGCAGAGCCCGCCTGTGAGGCAAGGGGGCAGGGTGTCACACCCGGGGCAGCCGCCTCTTGGGTCCAGCCGGCTGCAGCCAGGCAGGGAGGCAGCTCCAAAGTGGCCAGATCCAGATGTTCAAGAAGAACAGTTCCAGGTTTTCACGTAAAATACCTGATTTTTATTTTATTTTATTTTATTTATTTAATTTATTTTTTGGCTGCGTTGGGTCTTGGTTGCTGGGCACGGGCTTTCTCTAGTTGCAGCAAGCAGGGGCTACTCATTGTGGCGGTGCTCGGGCTTCTCACTGTGGTGGCTTCTCTTGTTGCGGAGCACGGACTTTAGGCGTGCGGGTTTCAGTAGCTGTGGCTCGCTGGCTTTAGAGCGCAGGCTCAGTAGTTGTGGCGCACAGGCTTCGTTGCTCTGCAGCATGTGGGATCTTCCCGGACTAGAGCTCAAACCCGTGTCCCCTGCATTGGCAGGCGGA